CGATCTCATCTTAACTCATTAAAATACTTAAGACCATGCACACTGAGGTAGCTGAGATGGTACTCTACATCTCTTAATGACAGTTGTAAATGTTTCCTGTAAACTAGTATATTTTTTGTTTATTTACAGACAAACTATGCATTACTCACTTCTTTAAATGAATGACTGAGTGATCTCTAATAACTCTAACAGAAAAAAATTAGAGAAAGAAATAGCTAACATTAAATTCTGGCAGTCCTACAGACCTCTCACTAGTTCTAGTAAAAATAAATAAATAGAAACTCTAAGGTCAGGTGCTCTATATCCAAATACTGAAGCAGAAACCATTTCCTACACTTTTGATAATACTTAGCACACAACTTTTTCACATGGATTTATGATTGCATTTATTTCTTAGATTTTCTAATACCTCATTCTGTATGTTGCAATCTTCATAACTGCATGTTGCAGAAATATACAAATGTTTTTGTAATTTATTTGGAATTATCCCAGGTTCATCTGTTAAATTCATCAAACATGGTGTGAACACAGCTAAGCTGTATAGATTTGAAAGAAGAATTCCAGGTGATCTAATCACTTCCAAAGGAAAAATTTCTGGTGTAAATTTGAAATGGCTTTTCAGGCTTCCCTGTAGTTGCTTACGTAATATTTTTAGAACTATTCTTTCCACACAATATACCTTGCTTTGGTTTCAAGGGAGTGCAGATAGTCATGTCACCCAGTAGGAATGGGGAAAAGCAAAACATGCTTAGAAGAGTTCTTCCTCACCACCTGTGTGTATAGATCCCAAGCTGCCATTGCTATAATATCACATGGAAGAGATGTGAGGGAATTTCTAACACTCATGCTAGATAAGAGGTACCAGTTGCAATTTTTTTTCAAATGTGCTGTTTCTTCTTAAGTACATCAACTAGGAAAGCTACTAGTCTCTAAACGAATGCTATCAGCTGGCATGTTCCTCATAGTGATTTTAGAATTTCATAAAAATGTCATCAGAAGCCCTCAAAACTTAATATACACATGCAATATTTCACTTACTCCTACTTACTCATGATTTACTTGCTAATGCTTATTTGTTGCTATTTTAATTCCACAGTATAAGGTAGATTTGTTCTTCTTGCTTATTTGAGCATGAATTTTCTTTTCCCACCCAATTTGTAAATCTGAACAGTTCCCACTGCTTTCACTGATCTTCAGAATTTTCCTGCTGTGAACAAGTGGGAAGACTGGAGATGTAGTCCTGAAACTGCTCCTTGGCTTTTGACTGGAATTAGTTGCTTTTTACATTTAACTTCCTTTCCTTTGTTTCCTTCAAGAGCAACCAAGAGGAACTCTACCCTGACTCGCCATCTTTTCTAAGGGAGGGAAATTATGTCCTGGTAGTTATTCAGAGTTTATTTTAAAAGTTCAATCTTACCAATCTGAATCTGAGAATACTAAAAAATTAACTAAATCAAAGTAGTAAGATATCTACTGCTGCCTGGGAGCTAGCAGGCTCATCAGTTGGCCTAGTGTTATGCAGACTTGCTATCTCAAGCCAGGCTAGTTCAGAACCATGTAGCTTGAACCGAAGCTTAGAAAGAGAAGAACTGAATGCTTCAGGACCAATTTTGTTTTTTGATTGACACTTGATTTTGGCCTAAAGTAGGGCCAACTTTGCAGTATCATTTTCTCCTAACTGTTGGGCAATGCCAGTTCAGGGAGAAAGGCTTAAAGCACGAGAATAACTGTTTCACCCTATGGTTCATCTGTACATTGCTGCAATATGGTAAGCCTACTAGAGTTTAGAGCTAAGCTAAGCTTTATTCTTTTAAAGACACTGGAGACCTACTAGACAAATGGTGTTGAGGGAAATTCAAACATAACTGGCAAGATCTAAATCTGTGCTGAGTGGAATGTTTATAAAATATCAGGAAAAGAGTATGAGCTTGTAAATAATCCTAATGCCTTACCCCTTTGGGGAAAACATTGCACACCAAGTATTATTAATTTCTTTATTGTCTTCTTACATTATATGAATTTTTTATTGGACTAATGGGTTTTATAATGTTGATTGTTAATAAAAAGATCTGGCTAGCATTGTCTTTGTGATTTAAGTAAACAGCATTTGCTTTTTATACTGACTTTATGAGACTTCTGTGAGCTTTGGTGTTGCTGATATAGTGAGGATGTATGGCAGTTCAAAATCAGTTTGTAGAGATCATGTGACAAAGCAATTTTTCTATCAACACAACCTCAGGAAAGTTTATTTTGTTCTGCAAAAAATTAGGCACAGCTTGCAAAACAAGGCAAAAGTCCAATGAATGAAGATGGTATCAATTCCAGCCTTTCGTTTGTATGGAACAAAGAAGTGAACATGAGCAAAGACAGATCTTAAAGTAATCTTGTCTAAAACAAGCATCCTTTGATAGAGTAACATGGTAATTATGGGCTAATTGCCACTGTGATTGGACAATAGGATAATGCAATGACCTTCCTGGATTCCTGTTCTTAGGTTGTTCCTTGTTAAATTTCTAAGAATCTTCATGATCTTTTATTTCCGGCTCACACTTTGCCTTATCCATTTTTGTGCTACCCAAAGGTATTTGACTATCCATGGTATTTATATTTAATCTAAGAATTTTTATATGTGTACATGTGTGTACGTAGGTATATATAAAATTTATTCTAAGCATTAAATCCAAAGGTATTTAATCATCAGGCTCAGATCAGGTGACATGCAACATTAAAATCAAATGAAGGTAGGCAGTGTAACTACTTTGGAAGGACAGCCCTGACAGTTCTATTTTCTTAATAAATTTTCATTTTAACATGTACATGCTTAGCACCTATTGTCTCCGTTTTTAAAGATGGAGAAAGGATGTATAGGAAGAATTTCACTGAAAATTAGGTGAAGTTTAAGTCAGTCTGAAAATGTGAATCTCAGACTCTCTAGAGCCCCATGTGCTGGTTCTGTGCCTTCACATCTTGAGAGTAATCTCACTGGGATGTCCAGAAGACACTTTTCTGTAACAAGTTTCCATGACAAGTTTACTCAGACTGGCTTTGTTTGGATCTAATATCCACCCACATATGCATGAAAAAAAACATTAAGTAAAGTAAAATCAGCAGCTATGCACTTGATTAAGGAAAGCTGCCATATGATGCCTATGTGCCCCTTCTCCTCCCTCTCATAAGCAGAGAACCAAACCCAAAGTTCTGTGGGAGAACTGGATTTTATTTATATCTCAGTCTAGGGGACCGGCTCTCCTCCCCATCTCAGAAAAATGCCAATGGCTTAACTACTGCTGTGTAGGCTAGAATGGGTTTGGGATGCTCTCTACTCCTGCTGTTAACACTGTGATCACTTTGCAGTGAAGTATCTCTCTTCCATCTAAAGAAATGGAGGAATGACACTCTGGTAAAGGCATTTACTTTTTTATTCATCCAAAGTCATTGGATAAAAATACAATGACAATCTAAGAGGCAGCAACAACCATCAGTGACTCATAACTGCTCTCCTTGTTCACTGTGTTTGTGGGAGAAGTTGGGAAAGCATTTTCTAGGATAGCACTTCCAACTGTAATTCCCAGAGAGAAAAAGGCATCTCTCCCACTTTACACACTTAAGTCTTGCTGCTGCTGCCATAGCTCCTTTTGCATTTTACATTAAAGGGTATACTTGTCTCTCTTCAATAACCCTAGAAGAAACAGAACTGATGTTTCTCACCTTCTCTTTGGCGGAGAAGTCTATCCCACTAGAAACCAAATCATATTCTTGGTGAGCCCTGTGGCTCAAGTATTCCTGCCTGTAGAGCTCCAGTGAGACAGGTGAGGGATGCTCCTTCCCCTCTCTCTTGCTCCAGTGGCTAGGGCTTGCTCCTGGGATGTAAGGATTATGGCTTTGTATTTCTCCAGTAGACACTGAGATCCTGTCTCCTTCCTGCATATGAAGCTATTATGGCAAAGGATACCTTCCTCTTCCAGCAATGTTTTATGAAAAAAACCAAAAATGTACTAGTCAGATGTCTGAGGTAGGTAGCTGTGTACAGGAAGTAGTTTTTGCTGTGAGCATCCATCTCACAGTGATGTCTGTCTCACAGAGATGCTTAAGCAGAGGCAAGGGAAAACGTTGTGTGCAACCTCCTCTTCTCTTCTCTTCTCTTCTCTTCTCTTCTCTTCTCTTCTCTTCTCTTCTCTCTCCTCCCTTCTCTCTTCAGCATTTTCTTCTGCATATCCCTGCAATTGTGAACTCAGGTCAGACATGCCCAGGTCCCCAGTGTTTCCTTGCTGGGACAGAGATACTCCATTCAGCATCCCTGCAGCTGGCATGCTTGGCTTTGGGCATTATGGCACTGAGCACCACAAATGCTGTTATTGGCTGGAGCTGGGCTCAGGCTCCTAGCTCATGGTTGTGGTTTCAACTAGTTGACAAGGATCCTTAAGAAAAGGGATATTTAGCTTTGCAAATCATGAAGACTTTTGTGGCTTGAACTCTAAGTTATTCTCCATTCATCACTCAGAGACAGCTTTGGCAGAACTGGGTTGCTGTCTTGTGCTGTAACTGGTGGAATTAAAAATTCCGAAACTGCTGAAATCCTCTTTTGAGCTGAGGGATTAATAACATGGCTGCTGTTAACTGGGAGTGTTGTTTCTGTGCCACAGTAAAGAGACCAGCTACTCAAATACTCAATTATTCTGTCAATGTATTCCAGATCTCTGGGCACCTCTCCTCATTCTCTTTTCTTCCTCTGACTCCCTCCACTTTGTTGCATTTTTCCAGTGCAGATTCCTTGTGCTCTGTTCTGCTCTGGAGCAGGGACAATGTGCTACTACAGATATATCAGAAAACCCTGAATGTCCCCATTTTAAACCTGAAACAACAAAGAAATTGAGCCAAAACACAAGACATTTCTGAATTTTCTGAGTGAACTTCATACAAGGCAAACCTGATATGAAAAGAGATCTGTATCTTTTATTTTTGTTTTTGGTGACACTGATTATTTTCTCTTACTGTTTCAGGCTTTATTTAAAAGGTCATAGTGGAACAGCTGGAAAACAGAGTAGCCTGATCTTACATGGTGCTGAATTCAGTACAAAAGATGCTGACAATGACAACTGCATGTGTAAATGTGCTCTTATGTTGACTGGAGGTGAGTACAACTCTGAAAATATGTGGTACTTTAATAGGAATCTACTCTGCTTTCCTAAAGCAACCATGGATGCAGTTGCATTCATGGATGTGTAAGTACTGTGTGAAAATTCCTTTTATTATTATTACTCCTACTCTTTTCTGTATATGTATTGTGGTAGTGCCAATACCTCAAGATTGCTATCAGCAGGGAAGGGAGGTGCAGTCAGTATACTTCTACACTGAAGCTGTTGCAACAATGTCAAAGGGGAAAGCATAAGTTAGTGTTATTATTGAGGCAAGAAAGGCAAAGTAAGAGAGAAGAAGTTAAGAGATGAAGGGGAAAAGAACTTTGTAAGAAGTGGGAGAATCAGCCAGAAAAAAGAAGAGAGAAAATGCAGGGAAATAGACAATAGAAGGTAAAGTTTAAAAACAGTCAGAATCTGGACTTGCAATATATTATCTGTTTTACTTAGGGGTATGATTCTGTTATTGAAATAACTATAATGATTCAGCTTTCTGTCTTATGTGAGCATTATACATATATACATATAAACATAATTAATGTAATGGCTAACTCACTCACCTGTGAAAGATTAGACCTGCAACCCCCTGTTCAAATTATGGCACTTAGCCATTCTAGAAGATTTAAAACAGTATCCTTAGTGAGCTGAGTCAAGCTGCAGAAAGAAAGAAAGAAGAGTCAAGGTAGGGGAGAGCACAGAGAAGTTATACTGGGACAGTTCAAAGCACCAAGTCAATCTGACTGCCAGCAAGTATAGTGTATATGATTGATATTTGCTGCCTCCAGTGCAGAGGAGGAATAGCTGAGGTTATCTCCCCATACAGACATGTAAAGGTCTGCACAAGAGTGAGAACTTTCTCTGGCAAATGATGCTTATTCCTAGTCCCTGTATGGGCAAACTCATTTTTATCTCTAGGACACCACATTAAAGCAGAAAGCTTAAATTGGAATTCTCTGGTTCATTGACTGTATGACCAAGAAAGGCCCTTATCTTCACACCTGATCTTCTTCAGAGACTCTGCCTCAGTGATTTCTAACTTTTCTGGAAAAAATCCTATAGCATATAAGTTATTCAGCATTTTGGATCACACTGTTAAAACTGATCTTATTAGTGATTACTGGCACCCTTACTGAATCCAGCTCAGGCCATATTCAGGTATATGTGAGCCTCTAAAACTATCATCTGCTAACAGAAGATGGGTTCCCATCACTGGGAATTTATATCAAATGCACAACCTAGATCCTCATTTTCTTTTGCTGATTGGAAATGACCCAGTTGGGAGAGTCTTTAAGAAGCCAATTTCTCAAACTTTCCTGACTTCCTATAGTGATATCTTATTAAAGGTCAGCATGGAAAACTTTTTCCAATAGACAGGTGATCAGACACTACCTTTCCATTTCTATAAAAAAAGAAGCTAACCAGGTAGTTCTGGAGACAGACAATGGGTAAGAAGTCAACAGTTTATTTTAATTAAAACTGTTGACCTTTCCCTTTAGAGACCATGCTAAATTAAAGTGTCTTACTTCCAGGGCAGACCAGAGTCTAGAGAGAAGCTTCTAAATGTGAGTTGTGTCTGTGCTGGAGTACAGACTCATTCACGTATCTCAGCTGCCTGGAAATACCTCTGCTCCCAGACAGCTAATTCTGGGAGCTGATGGTTTTGTTTATTTTTCTGCCCTGACTTCTATGGCAGGTCAATGCCCTGCTAAGGTCAGCTGCTGTTGAACAACCATTCCACCAGGTTCACATATATTTTGCTGCAACAGTCCTGTAAATCAACAGGAAAACCGCATATTGGAATATACTGGTAGCAAATGAAAGGAATAAGGAGGAAGGGGTAGAATTACCAAAGGCCGAGGAAACCACAAATAGAACAAATCACTGCATAAAAGGAGTTGCAGCTAGCCTTTGGAGATAGATGAGTCTAGTCTTTTGGATTAGTCTCTGAGTACTAGTCTTTTGGAGATAGGCTGTACAGCATTGAGTAATTTGTAGTTCTTCAAGAACAGAAAGACTTTATCCATGCTAGAGTTCTCCTCAAACACTGTTATGCTTTGCTGCTTGAAATGACTTTCTCATCCCTTGAGAAATATCAGAAATTGAATTAAATACCAAAACATTTGTTTAGTGAGTAGATTTCAGTTTTGTACCACAGACAAAGACTAATTAAGAAAAGTAGCAATGATAAAAGGTTTTGGAAAACCTCTTTTTTTTCCAAAAGATACCAGACTCTGTTAGTTTTGGCAACATCACAGAGAGTTCTTTAATGATGAATGATATGAAATCTACAGGCAGGTTTCTAGCTATCTTGACAGTTTGGGTGAGCCTGTTATCTCTATGAGGTGAACTGAATGTATTTATGTCAGGAATAAAGGCTGAGATAAGCTGAAGCTCAAAACTGTGATATGGTTATAGTCAAGGCTGAAAATAAAAATGTACGGAAAACACACATTTCTCTCTGTGGTCTTACTAGTTGTCAGTTTTATTTGGTCTATATCAAAACTATTATTCTCTCTCCTTCTTTCTCTCCTCCCTCTTCCCCAGAATAAGAAATTAAATACTGGGAGAATAATACAGTAGCATCAACAGAGTTTTTTGTGTGTGTGTGTTTCTCGTCCTTTCAAGAGCCATGCTGTGCTTCCTGACTCTATCTTAACATTGACTTTAGGGAATGGCTCAAAAAAATACATTCATGAGCTGGATTCTTAGCCCCTGTAAACTTTATATGGTAGTTAAATATTTTAACTGGTTTTTTGTGCCTTGGAAAATCTAAACTAAGCATACTTGGTTTACTTTAAAGGGAGACAAACCATATTTATTCAAATAAATTCTTCATTTAAAATTAACGTTTGTCAAAGTAGTAAAAAAAATTATATAATGAAAATACCTGTTAAGAACTGGTACAATATCTCAGGCCAATAAATTGAACAAAAGGTTATATCCCCATATAATTTCAAGCATTATTTTGAAGAGTACGCCAGTGAGATACATACACAGCTTTTTCCAAGAAACAGCATTTAAAATATAACAGACTGTCACCAGAATGAAGAACTGAGTAGATGTCCAAGGCACTTCAGACAGATTTCCAATAGAAGTGCACTTAATGTCTCTGGATCAGATTTGTGGGCACAAGGCCAAATTAGAGCATCCCACCAGGATACCACCTGTCAGCTGAGCCCCAGGAATTGTTTGTACAATTGTTTTCAGACACTGGAAGGTGACTTATGGTAACTTGGCCTATAGTGAAAGAGTCTTAAGGTGATTTATTTTGTCTTGCATTGGCTGCAGTCTGAGGTGTTCACACAGGCATTTATTTACCTTGCTTCAGGTAATAAGCGAGAACATTGCTAAACTTCTGATCCCTGAAATAGTTTGACAAAGTCACAGGGAGACTTTATAGATGTCTTGCTAGTATTGAAACAGCACAGGATTATTGAAATAACTTTTTTTGTTCTACTGGAAGCAGAGATCTATCCAGCTGCAGTCTCCTGTCTCTGACAGCAGTCAGCAGCAGATGCCTCAGTATGGGTACAAGAGCAATGAAAATAAATTATACTTCCCCTGAGTATTTTCCCAGTATCTTTTGCATCTCAGGAGCTTCCCGAGTCAGAGACAGTTCCCATGTATTTAGTAATCCTCAATGGATTTGTCATCTATTAAGCGAGAGACTGCTCAATAACAATCCCAAGCAGTGGTACACTCATTGCCTATTGTTTCACTGCTTTTTTCTCCAACTGGTGAATTTTGTGAATGTCTGGCAAGAATGCTATGGAGGGAAGTTCTTGGCTGAATATAGAAATCTGCCCGCACATTATCTAATTAGAAAAAGCCACAATTTCTCTTATACTGTGTTTGAAACAAAGACTTTGAAAGTAGCAACCTCAGCACACATAAAAGTATCGAACTTGAACCCCTGGATATACCACTACATACATAGGAAAGCATCAATTTTTAAGTTTTATGCATATTGTTGCTTTCATAAAGAAGATACTCATAAAACACCATTAATGAAGTATCATTTATATTGCCTTACATTTTTACAGAAAAATATAACCACCATGCAGATAAGAAGTGATTGGAATATTATTTGATTTAGGCTAGGAGTATTAGAAATATTTCATTACACATATGACTACTCAGCACTTTTAACAAAATCATTACTATATTGCTATGTTTACCAGGGTTAAGTATGGACAACAGTAATAAAGTATTAGGAGAACACCAAGAAGTGACTAACTTAAAAATTATTCTGTTGATATATTTAGAAGATCAGAACATGGTGACCAGTCTGCAAGTTTCATGTTATTTTTTACCTCCTAAAAAGGTCCTTATAAAAAAGACTGTGTTATCCAGTTGATATGAAAAACTAATGCCTTTATGTCATATCCTGGCAGCTAAATTCTGATTTAAGCTTTAGAATGTCAAGTACCAATTGCTAAGTGATAGTCTGGTCAATCCAATAATCTAATGAATAAAATAACATAGGCCTGGAAACTACTTCCAGAGGTCATTTAGGCCCTTTCTAAGACAGACTCTTCTCTACCTATTTATTTCTGTCTTTCTGTTCATCTTCGAGATTTGTAGTGACAGAGATTCATTCTTATAATATAATCTGTTACTGAGTTTGGCTACATTTAATGTAAGAAACGTTTACTTGTTGACTCAAATAATGCTATAATAATTTGTGTTCCACCTTGTCCCATCCTCCATCACTGGAAAGAATAGACCATTCCTTTGCATTCCTTTGGAAAGCTACTTTATTCAGCAGCTTTTTTATGAATTTGAGACTGTTGGCAACCTGTCTTTTGAATTCTGGACTAAACAACCCTAAATCTTTCCTCTTACATTCAGTCTTTTGGACTCTGTCCAGTGGATCCACATATCGCTTGAGGTATCATCCAAAACAGCACCCAGTCTTCCAGCTGAGAAATTATGAATGCAAAGTCAAACAGAGCCCAAGTATCACCATCTAACTTCTTTAAAGTACAGAATGTCA